AAGGAGACTTAGAGAGTGACAGAAACAGGAAAATAGAACGGAAGAGATATAGAGACTGATAGAATTTGAAATGGAGAATGAAAGAGATTAGAGGGATAGAATGGGAAAGAAGGATAGAGGGATAGAATGGGAAAGAAGGATAGAGGGCAAGAGATGCAGAGTGGTAGAATGGGAGAGACTGAAAAAGATGTAGAAAGTGGTTGAATGAGAGTGAAAAGATGTAGAGTGGTAGAATGAGAAAGTCAGCAAGAGTTGTGAAGAAGGGTAAAAGGGGAAAGAGTGGAAAAGAGATGTAATAGACTGGGAAAGAGACATAGACAAGAGAGAGTGATAGAGGAAGAGAGTACAAAGAATGTTAGAATATAAAAGTGAACTGTAGTGGGAAAGAGATAAAGTGTGAAAAAACAAATGGGACAAATGAAGCAGATTTTTTTTTACAAGTTTAGTTTAAGTGCAAAGCTAAATGTCTATCATGTAGACTTTATACCATTTCATATAATGCTTAGTATGCAGAATAATATTAGTTCTTGAGACGCTAAAAATTGTTAGCTCTAACTGCCTCCGTAGCTGCTTAATTCAGTGCATCTGGCATCTTTCTTGTGAATGAAACATTTGGAGTTTGTTTTAAATTGGGCAGATTGTACAGGAGAACGTAGAGGATTCTCTAAACACTCATCAGTTCTTGGCTTAGCAGTGCTTTTGCCTCTTTGTCTCTACACAGTTCTGCTTGGATTGCCAAATTTGAGAATTTTCAAACAGCGGAGTGCCAGGGTGCAATTTGGCATCATGCTGAATGTATATACATATACACATAGAAACAGATAGCATACCAAGTTTGCAGTAGGTAGTGACTGAAGGGTTTCATTCCAAAACACTCTATATACATTTGTAATAATTTTGGATATAAAGAGTTTTTGAAAAGAATAACAGCTGTAACATTTTTTCTCTAAGAAAGGTGCAATTAATCATACAGCATCAGTATTTCTTGAATGTGTAAAGCCCACTACCAATAACCTATTTAATGGGGGGCAAAAAGATTCTATAAAGGTCTATAATGTATCTTGCAACAAAACCCTTCAGTTATAATCTACCTAGGACTCAGTAGTAAAACTGAAATGGTGGTTTAGGCAGGGGATGAAGTTTTTTATTATGGATCATTGGTCATTGTCTCTTTAAGTCTCAGTCTTATCATTCTTGCAGTTTGGCTCTACATTTGCTATACAGCATATAATATACATATAATATAATGGACTATATTTTTTATAGCATTTATAGAAAAATTTACAGTGGCTTATCTTTACAACAGATCTAACACTTTGCTAATTATTAATTATTAAAAGAACCCAACATCAGAAAAACAGTATAAAAAGTGGTTCAGGCAAGATATCAGAATGAATTTGAATGTCAATTTCAATTTGAATTGGCCAGTGGCCAGGTCACCATCCAGCTATTGAATTAAATTCAAGCGAATAACTCAAATGTTGCAAAGAATTATGCTAATTAGGCTGCGTTTCCATCTGCTCTGTACAAGAGAATCCAACTCTCTATGACACATTCATGAAAACACCTCTGAGAAATATGGAGCAAGTTTTCAGAGAAATCTTGTCGGGCAACTTCTCTTTGATGTTTTGTTTTATTCATGGCTGTATTTAACACCATAAGAGTGCAAATACAGAATGCACTGATGTAGTAAAATGGCTCAAACACCTTATATCTGTTTAGTGACTAAAATCACTTATGTTTTCTTCTTTGATAAGATAAAGGTACATTTTTATTTCTTCATTAATCTGCTGATGTTTGCTCCCTTGAGCCATCAGAGGATCACCTGATCGGTCTATTTTGTTCTTTTATTTTGTTTGGATTTATTTTGTTTGGTTTTATTTGGCAAATGGGTTTCCATCATTATTTATTGCATTTCTTTTCATCATCAAGAGTTCTTCTATGTGAATTTGGAAGATTTTATTCAATATTTGCCATTGCCATCAAGTCATTTTTATTCGATATGTAAAAATGTGGAGAAAGTATGTAAATAAATAAATAAATAAACAAAACATGGATGGAAACCCAGCTATTGTTACTTAAATTATCTGTGGAAACATTCCCAGCATTGTGAGTTGCCTCTATGAGGAATACCTGTTTGGAGTGAGTGAAGGAAGGAGATAGTGGGAAGGAGAGGAATGAGGGAGAAGAGCAGGGAAGCCGTCCATCAGGGCCTGATCCGGAGGCCAGGCACCACAGCTGGAGGGGGAGGGGTGGAACTAAGCGAGTGTTGGGGGAGGGGGACGACACAGAGCGAGAGATGTGTGTGTGCTGTGTGTGTGTGTGCGAGAGAGAGAGAGAGAGACAGAGTAGAGGAGAGATGAGATGCTTTTATGTGGTTTCAGTGTCTGCTTCCGCCACAATCTACTCAACCAAGGCTACCTCTGTCTTAGCATCAAGCTTTTGGTGCTCATGTGGCTAATTGTGTAGCAGTTTGTTCAGAATCATTGGTCTGGCTGAAGATTAGGATCGGATATTATCTAAAGAAGACAGCGTTGCACCAGAAATGATGGCAGTTATGTCTGTGATTTAGTAAACATTCTCGTCTATGAAGGACGAGTTATTGTGTGAATTCTTTGCCATTTTCTGGTTTGGCATCCTGCCTTGCTGACATTGCTAGCCGCAGAAGCTAGCTTGCAGGTTGCAGTGTTGGTGGTCATGAAGACATGTTCTTCTTGCTGTGGTTTCAGGGTGTTTAAACGAGCTGATGTCTCTAGAGTTCAGGTGTGGTTTGGTGCTTCCTTTTGAATTTGTGTCAAGCTGTAGCTTTAATATAGTATCTTGAAGCTGCATGGTTTTAATATGTATAAAAGTCAGAGACTATCCTTCCTATACTTAATTTCCAGCCAAAATGGCCATTAAGTACAAAAAAAAATTACCAAGATCTGGTAGACCCCCAAAACTGTCAGCATCAGATAAACAGTACTTTCCTCTTTGAGAGAGAGGAGAAAATCAAGCTCTACTCTTGCTTCAGATCTTAAAAACAGCAACAGGTGTTTCTGTCCATCCTTCCACTGTGAGATGACAACTCAATGCTATGAGTCTAAAAGGAGTGTAGCTGTCAAGAAGCTGTTACTGAAAAAAGGAAATCGACATAAAGGAAGCATTTGCAGAGCAGACAAAGAGGCTGCTGGTGTTCTAAGAACAACGGATTGGCCACCCCCGAGTCCAGATCTCAACATCATTAAATGTTTGATTGAATCATGAGAAGCAGAATTACAACCCATTCTAAAACTGAACTTTGGTGGTGTGGGAAAATATCCCTGCAGATTTCTTAAAAGAAAAAATACCTGTGGCTCCTTTTTGTCTGTTTTAACATTTCAGATGTTAAAAAAATCTTGTGTTATGATGTTATATTATTATTAAAGGGCTAATTTCATCTGCTGTCCCTGGAGATAAATTTAAGAGCCTGTTTACACCTTGCATTAACATTTTACACTTTTAAATAAAATGCGCCCCCAATATGACCAGATGAGATCCAATTTTACACATACATTGTTTCCATTTTACTTTTGTCTGCTTTTTTCCCTGTTATGGTATGAGTCAGCTCTTAGTTTGGGGATAAAGCCAACCTTGCATATCCTCCATCTTTCCATTCATTGTTTGTCCACTCACCTGCTAGTCAGTGCTCGGCAGATGCATTTCACGTTCCATTTACACTGGTGTTAAACATGCTCAAGATCCGTCTCTAAACACCTCCAAATGTGGTTTGACTGTTCAGATTGCAATTTGATAACAATGTGTCCTGAGTAGAGCTGGGCGATATGGCCAAAAAATGTTATCACAATAAACAAAATTCATATCGTTTGATATTGATACATATCGCGATAAATGTCAAATCATTATTTCTTTCAAGTTTGAAGGCTGATTTTTGATAATGGGTGGTGAATTGCTATTTTACACTATCCTTTATGGTCAGAACATGAAAAACACTCACCAAACAGTGGAACATTTCACTAATCTGTCATGGGACAGTGGTAGAAAGTTTCTGGTGAGCTGTTTTTATCAGCTGGAAAAGCACAGCTGCAGTTTTTGTAATAGTCATAATTTAAGAAAGAAAAGATTCCCGCTCTCCCACTTTCCCAATGCCTCGCAGCTTCCTCAGTTTACTTTCATTTAAGTCAGGGCTGTAACTTGCATTAACCCACTTCTTTCTTTCACTTACGTTGCTTGGGAATGCACTAATACAAAAATATGACTGCGCGCTTTAACAGCGCTCTAGTTATGCGGAGCAGATGTGATTTAATGCTGCTAAAGCTGGTTAGGATGTTAGGAAAGAGGTGAGTTCACTTTAGGACAGTACAGTTACACCACTTATCTTGTCACTCACACTTGGTCACAGGAGAACAGATCACCGGTCGCTCCACTCAAACAGGGAATGTATAAGTCCATGTTTCAGACGTTGCTAAAGACTAATTTCACTCGTCGCCTCTCCCTCTCTAATCATGTCGAAAAACTTGGAAGTGCGCCCTCTCCTGGTGACAGCAGAGTAGTGTCACTTTCCTTGCAGTAGAAAACGCCACCAGAGCTGTCGCTAGAATGTGAAAGTGTGAGAATGGTGTACTATATAGAAAATTTATCAAACATGTCGTATCACTCTATCGAGGAAAAGTTACATTGCGATAATTATCGTTAACGTTTTATCGCCCAGCCCTAGTCCTGAGGGTGTTTACATCTCGCTTTTTCCTGCGGTCAGGTGAAATCTTAACATGATCCAATCACTGAAAACGCACGTTGCTGGAAGGTGTAAACAGGCCCCAAATGTCATTCTTTTTGTCTGCATTTAATTTTTGCATTTATTCATCTGTGAAAAACTGTATTTGATTTGTAGGTTTTTGAATATGATGGTAGCACTGCTTTCTGAATCTCTCTCTCTCTCTCTCTCTCTCTCTCTCTCTCTCTCTTCTCTGTCTCTCTCTGTCTCTCTGTCTCTCTGTCTCCCTCCCCTCTCTGGGCTTCAGGTCTGATGAGTATTCCTGCAACGTCTGGACAGACGGGGGCTGGAGAGATGCAGTCACCTGCGGCAGTTAGCCCATCCTTCCTCCCACCCCCAACCGGAAAGGTTCCGGGTCGCAAGAGGGGACGTCCGCCACTCAAAAGGCACCCAGAGTATCAGAACCACTACCCAGAATCACTCCCACCTATCAAAGTGCCAAAGAAGAGAGGGAGAAAACCTGGATTCAAGGTCAGCAAGTGTATGTGTTTGTGTGTTTGTTGTCATACATTTTCAGGATAAAAATGTCCTGAATTTGTAGAAAAACCTTAACCTCAAGTCATGTTAAGCTGTTAAGAGTCAGATATGTTGAGGTTTTCAGCACAAAAATGTCCTGACTATGTAGGAAAACCACAGAAAAACTGGAATAACCTACCTTGTCAGAACTGTCAAAGGATTAAAATAATTAATCGTGACTGTTCGCATATGTCTTATTTGAAGACAGAATGTATTTTATTACTTTCTGTAATTCTATAGCATTATTTTCATCATGTGATCACAGGCTTCACATGAACCTGAACAAGAACATCATATAATGTCCGTACAGAGAACACATCACCAACATCCAGTGAGAGTAACAGTGGCTGCACGTTCTGGCCAATGAGTATATACATCATATATACAGTCAATGGCTCCAACTCCTTTCACTCTTCTGCATATAGCCTGTGGACTCTTAGTTTTCCGCTATGCTGTTGCTTTTGTTAGCTCGCTTTACCAACCAGTCTTCCATGAGTGCTGTTTAGTGTAGCCTGCCAAGGATGTTGTTTTAAAAGCCTTTTAAAAGCTGTATTTGAATGTGAGGGGTGAAATTATGGATTTTATCATAGCAGTACAGCTCGTGAGCAGCTGGGCATCAAGCCTACATTACTAGAGATGATTTGAAGGTTCAAACAAGGAAAATGTGTTTAAAAAAAATTAGAGATGTTAAAATGTATATTACGTTTACAGAGTATTAGTGTGCTTTGACAGGCCTAGTAATTACATATAAGGACCATTCTTCTAACTGCAGTTCCACAGTAAAAAAAAACAAAAACAAAAAAACCACTGAAGTATTCAGACCTTAGATATTTCCAAGTATTATGTTATGATCTATTTAAACCCAAGGCATTGAGATAGAAATATGCTAAATATCTAAAAAAAAAAACAATCACGATTTATATTGGGAGGTGTCTGTCCAACACCTTAACCCCTAAATTTGTTCATTTATTCATTTATTTAAGATATTTTAGGTTTATTTTAAAGTGAAGTTTAATGATTTAGCTTTATCATGAGTTTAAAAAAAAAAAAAAACTTAAAAAATTAAAAAATGCTGTCCCATGTTTTCATGTCACTAAGAAACACAGAGTTTTAGTTCATAGGCAGAGCCTTATTTTAGCCACACCCCTGCATTTTAGAGCAGGATGTGAGACTGCATCCCTGTCCCTCATGGCCACATGGTGAGCAGTTAGATCCCAATTTTTTTTTTTGTTTTGAAGCAAATGTGTCCCACAGTATAAACTTGTATAAACAGTGTGTAAGCTTTAAGAATTGTCACCCCCAAAACACATATTTCCTGCTATTAAGTACATTTTTGTTTTGTTTTTTAATGAAAAATATGCTTTTTTGTGTGTACAGCTGTTCAAAGCTGTGTTTGATAGTCATACACTGGCTATCATTTTTGAGTTATGCTCAAAATTAGCTAAAATTGTCAGTACCGAAATTTTCACCTCCAAAACATTTTTTAAAGTTTTGGAGGCATAATTATTGTAGCGGTATGACAAAATTCAATGTTCAATCATATAATCCTATTAATTTAATTTAATAAAATAAACATAATTAAAGTGTAGGATCATTCAAAGCAAGAGAATTTTAGTCTGAGTCTGTTAAAAGTCTTCAACTCACCATGTATAACCTTAGCGATGCATCGATATGGGAATTGTGGGCTGAAGCTGATATCCAGTAGTTTTCGTACACATATCTTCCAAGGCAGATACATAAACATTTATAAAATGTAGAAACTGAGACATAAGTTGATTTTTTTAACACACCTATCTGAAACCCAGGATCATTTTATAATTTCATCAATAGACACACACAAAAGAACACAAATCAGCAGTACATAAAACACAAACACACACGCAGTGCAAAAGAGATTTTCACTTGTCACTACAGGGTTATTCTGAGAGAAAAGTTCTTGGTCCAAAGAATCATTGCTAGTTGAAAGTTCATTAGTCTGAAGGAGATTTTCGTTTGCTGCTACAGAGTTAGCTCGTTGCTGGCTGAGCTATTGTGTCTCAGTCTGAAGGAGGTTTTCATTAGTCACTACAGAGGTACCTCGTTGCTGGCTGAGAGAAAGTTTCGCCTCTGTGGAGTTAGCTCATTGCTGGGCCTGCCTGCATACTTCGAAGGAGATTTTCACTGGCTGCTACAGGGTTAGCTTGTGAGCGGTTGAGAGAAAGTTTTTCAGTTCAAAGGAAATTTTTACTTGTTGCTATGAAGGTTAGCTAGTTGCCAGCTGAGATAAGTTTGCCAGTCTCTTTTTTTCGCTAGCCCATACAGAGTTAGCTTGTTGCCAGCTGTTTTACTTTGCAGAGTTAATTTGTTGATGGTTCAGAGAAAGTTTCTCAGTCCAAAGAAGATTTTCACTGGCCACTACAGAATTAGCTTGTTACCGGTTGAGAGAAAGTTTCTCAGTCAGAAGACGATTTTCACTCACTGCTACAGAGTTAGCTTGTTGCCAGCTGTTGTCACTGTTGCAGAGTTAACTTGTGAACGGTTCAGAGGAGGTTTCTCAGTCCAAAGAAGATTTTCACTGGCCACTACAGAGTTAGCTTGTTACCAGCTGAGAGAAAGTTTCTCAGTCAGAAGGAGATTTTTTCTCACCACTACAAGTTAGCTCGTTGCCAGCTGTTACAGATTTATTATACTGGTTGAAAGAAAGTTTCTCAGTCTGAAGGACGTTTTCACTCGCCACTACAGGGTCAGCTTGTTGCTGGCTGAGAGAAAATTTCTCAGTCAGGAGATTCTTGCTCTCTGCTACAGTGTGAGCTCGTTGTTGGATGAAAGTTCATCACTCTGAAGGACATTTTCACTCGCTGCTACAGTTAGCTTGTTGCTTGCTCAGAGAAAGTTTCTCCGTCCAAAGGAGGTTTTCATTCGCCACTACAGAGTTATCTCATGGCTGGCTGAGAGAGTTTCTTAGTATATAGTAGATCTTCCCTCATCGTTACAGAGTTAGCTTGTTATTGGTTGAGAAAGAGTTTCTTAGTCTAAAGGAGATTTTCACATTCTGCTATAGAGGTTAACTTATTGCCAGCTGAGAGAAAGGAAATTTTTACGCGCCACTCTTTTGCATTACAGGGAAATCTAAAATTTATTTCTGTAGGTATTTAAATTCAGTAATATTAATTAAATGAAGATAATTCATGGCAGTAGCCCAGTATCCCAAACATTCTGCCTTTTCAGAGTGTAATAACTATGTCATTAAATATCGGTATGAAATATTGTTCAAATCTAAAGATTGATCTGATGCTGATAGGTTTTTAGCAGTTTCTGCCAATACAATTGGCAATTCCAATATCGTCTTGCATAACTATATAATATATATAAGAAATATGTATACCCCTGTGTTCTGACATATGAAAACAAGCACGTGCCTGCGTCCAGCGAAGGATTTTCTTGCTGTAGACTCAAAGGAAAGTAATCAGCCTTTAAATGTGCTTTATGTGTATGAATGTAGATCATACTTTTCCTGCACTTCCATTCTAAGAGTACTTTCAGTGGAACACATTCATGTTTCCCACTGAAGGGGTGTGAGAGAGAGTGAGAGGGAGAGACAGTGAGGGAAAGGGATAGTGTGCTTGTGTGTGGTTTCACAATGACTGATGTATCTGCAGTCTGCTGCTGTAGTGGGAGTTATTTTTAGCTGCATGTGTCTGACTGCAAGCCTCCTACTATTGCTGCTGATTTAAAGAGGAACACACTCGCATGGTGGGGGTGTATGTGTAGGCGAGTGACAGTGTATTAGCAATATAAAAAGAATGCTCTGAATTGAAGTTTTTTCTATTTGTTTGGTCAGTGGAGGACTGCTGACCATTAAAAATTCTTAAAGGGCCTGTACCATCAAAAAAATATTTTCCTCTGATTTTAAATAAAGAAGGGGATCATACTTCTGCACATTTACTGTTTATATGCTGAATTGCAAAAAAATAATAAAACGTAAAATGTGGCCTATGTAAAAGTAGGCACATTTTTTTATGAAAAAGGCAAAAAATACCAAGTTCCTTGTAGAGGATGTGTACTTTTTTCACTTCAACAACAAATCAATCAACAATCAACAAAACATTTGACCAGGGGTATTTAAACATTTGCATATTCACGTTATATGTGTTTATATCTCTAAACTGGCAAATGTTTAGGGGGAAAAATGTTCTTAATTTACTAGTATAACCTAATTTCATTCCAAGAAACCCCCAAAAAAGGAAAAACATACAAATATAAGGTTTTATATCACACAACGATGATATATTTTTTAAATGTTTGCACTAATTCTGTTGTTTTTGCATGTGTGCAGCTGAAGTCTCGATTGGCGATGACTCCTCTGGCCATCTCCCCTCCTAGCAGCACTCCAGAACCAGACATGAGCTCCATCCCCCAGGATGCTGCCACTGTTCCACACTCTGCCACACCAGAGGTCCTTACAGGTAACACACATATACACACACAGTCTCTCTTCCACAGCTTGTAAACACTCCATGCAGCCATGATCTCAGCAAGTTAAAAAAAAAAGCTGCAGTAGAACAGGACATGAATCTTCACTATTCTCTGAGGAACTCTAAATACATTAATAGACTTGGTTCTGTCTATTCCTCCAGCATAACCTCACTGTTTACTGTCCAGCAGGGACTGTAACTGAGCTCATGAAGCTGAAAGATGATTATAGCTGTGATTTTGTTCATATTAGTAACCTGAAGTGCTCATCCTAGCAGGGACATTGTGGTTTGGTGTAAATTTTGTGCTGCCGTGTAGCCTCATGTAATCTTGAACTGCAGTGTCTGGTGTTGTGATAAGGACTGTCAAGATTGATTTAATAAATTGCTTTAATCAATTATGTGATGTAAACGCCCACTCTGTAAGCAATTAAAAGTTGGAAATAATAAAATTATATAAAAAATATGGGAGCTTGATCAGAACCAGACAGGATTACATGTTCATGTGACATCTTTTTTTACTTCGAGTTGCAGCTGTACATTAAATCTTTTGGTAAACATTTTATACTTCATTGTCTGAATATTAGTGGAAGAGTCTGTTGGACTGTTAGTCCTCCGCTGAGCTGGTTGTCTAACAAAATCATGTCCTTTAGTGCTCATATAAGTATTCAGACACTTACATATTATATTATAACATGATTCAGTTTTTGTTATTTAATGTATTTCCAGTGCATATATACACTTAAATTTTCCACACATAATATCTTTTGCCTTTGTACTTATAAATGTGAACAAAAAAGCATGTGTGCATAATTATAAACATGATATGTTTAAAAAACGAAATTAATAGACACCACTAATTACAAAGCCATTGTTGGCAGTTACAGCTTTGAGATGTCTACAGTAAGAATTAAATAGTTTTTGCTGCACTGGTGGCAAACTGTCTTCATTTTCCCAGTGTTACAACTGTCTCACTGATGGACACACAATTTCAGAACCCTCCATAAATTTTCAATGTGAAGAGATTGGCTAGACCTTGCAAGCACCTTCAACCTTCTTCTTTGGCTGTGTGGTGGTGTTGTCTTGTTGAAATGTCTGTCTTGTTGAAACATTCAGTCATGTGTTCTTTAAAGACATGTACCGTTTGCAGAGAAGCAGCCCTATATCATGATGCTCCCACCTCTGTATTCACCATGGGTATGGTGTTCTTGGGATCAACCCTTCCTTCTCCAGACATGATGAGCTGAATTATTGCCAAGGAGTTGTATTTTTTGTCTGACTAGAGTCTCTGAAAGAGTTCTGATTTGTCTAAATGCTCATTTTCAAATTTGAGATGTTTGCATTAAGTTGTGGTGCAGTTTTTTGCTTATTGTTCTCTGTGTTATTGTTGTTCCTGCTGCTTTCAGATAGACCTGCAACTGTTTTCTGACTGCTTGTTTTTCTTATACCTTCCTTGTCATTAGTCTGAGTGTGTGTTGTGATATCCTGCATGGCGCACCTGTCCGGGGACAATTAGTTATGGTTCCATGAAGTTTCCTCTTGCTTATTATCAAACCAGTTTTACTGACAGGGATGTTTAGGATCTTTTTTGGCTCTTTCACCACGATGGATATTTGTTACATAAATTTTCCCATCCAATGGCAATGTCTTTTATTAAGATTTGCTTGAAAACCTTTTTTTGCTGCATTAATATTTTATTGTTTGATTTAAAAAAATTTTATTTATCAAGATTTATCAAGGCAACAGTGAGTGTAACATATAAATTACCTAAGGAAAAAAAAATATATATATATATACAATAATCAGCTTGTTAGTTATACTCTTATAAGGTCATAATAATAGATGAGGTTGATAATATATTATCTGTTGTATTGAATATGATGTGTAATTGCACAGGGTTTGTGAGTGTAATGTCAGACTCATAATCTGTGTTTATGGACCAAGTGGTCACACACACACTTTCATTATCTTAGAAGTCATGGCCTTGTGATCCGGAAAGGTCATCCTGGCCAAGTGGAAATACAGCTAAAGAGAGAAAGAGAGTAATTGCTTCTCTTTTTTTGAAGATTAATAGTGATGAGGTCTCTGGGGGCATTACTGAAGAGTACGGACCAGCATGGCCTTTGAGACATGATCTTCCAATTACTCATTCAGTAAATTATATAAATAATCTAATTATTGCTAATTATTTTTTTTTTGTAAAATGTCATCATATATTAGATGGTAACTATTATACATAATGAAGGACAAAGAACCTTTTTGTTTAATTTGTGCAAAAGAGGGGTCTGGCATCAATGCAGCGGGCCTTCCTCTTAAAACCCTGTGAGTGGACAGAGTTTCTTTTAAACATGGGATTAGGACTAAGGTTGGGTAATATCACAATACTTGAAGGCATTTTCATGATACACGATGTGAATCACTAGATTTAGTTTTTCTGTGTTTTGCAAATGGTTGGAATGGACAAAATGCTCCAACGGTAGTGCCACATTAAAGGGCCGTTTTGGCCTAAAACTAGCGTTCAATATGTCATTTTTCATATTATGCAGCATTGTATCCCTCAGCTTTATCAGTTTGACAGAAATTATGAATTTGTATTCTTTGTGTGTTTTTGTCTATGAGTATTCTTGTACAATGCCCAGTATGCATTTTGCAACTATTGGGAACTTGGCTCGCTTTGAAAACGAAATCAGACAGCCAGATCTCAGGTGTCCACCCTAAACAACTCATAGTTTTCCAAAAGTTGAAGATGCAGAGGAGAGTTTTTAGCTAGTCTTTAAACCAGAACGTCTGGCTCTAGAGACTGTTGTGGCACTGCTGTAGGAGGTCAGAAAACATATTTACAACATGTTTACAGTAGATGGTTACATTTTTCATTTTGGCCAGAGTGCCCCTTTTAATTAAGAGTACATCCACCTGAATTAGAATTACAAAGAGACATAATATTCATTCTGTAAGGTTACAAAATGAAGCTACATAAATAAAATGCAGAGATTTTAGCACAGCAGCCCAGTAACATCTAAACATCCTTTCAGAATACAATAAATGTATCATCACATTGAAATGCAGCAAATATCTGCCAATACTGATATGATTCTGATATCATCGTGCATCCTTAATCTTAAGAAGGAAGAGGTTTTCAGCCTCTCTATATTTGGTCTCTTTATGATATATAGTATCATATAATAGTGTACTACCCATGATGTACTTTGCATATTGTGATGCAATTTATTATAATAATGATAACCTTGCCCTCACAATAATAATCTTTCTTAAAATTCCTACATAATTTAATGGTTGAGATGTAAGCACAATTCTTCAGAGTGGTTTTATGTGAAATGCTCCATCTTAGAGAAACTTACCGAATCAGATTTCTTTACATTGGTGTTCCTGATAGGAACTGATAGGAACCAGGAATCACAATGTATATAATGCAAATATAGCCATTTTATTTACTATTTAAAACCACCTATGAATCTACATGCGTCTTCTGAGCTTTTAATTGTAATATTAGTGATGGTAAAATAATAGTACATCTGACAACCATAAATTAGTTTTTACTGGGGAACTATTTTGCCTTTTGCCTGGATGTACCTCTTTTTGCCATGAATGATTTTTAAAAAATGTATTTGAGGCCAGAATCTTTCCAAAAACTATTATAAATCATTGTCACAGGCAAGCAGCATATTCGTAACCATTTCATGTAAAAACTGTAAGGGAGGTTTTAGAGGCATTAAACTCTTCAGAGGTCCTGGTTCCTATCAACACTACTGTGAGCGATTCTGACTCTTTAAGTTTCTCTAGAACAGCACATTTCACATCAAACCACTCTGAATGACTTTGTTTATGTCTCAACCATTTAATTTTGCTGACATTTTTAAAAATATCATTGGAAGGCCAACCCCTGAGCCACAGAAAGTTAAAGAACAAGTCATGTGTCTATGTTTATGTATGAGGGTTATATATGGAGTCTGCAGGCTCTGGAAGACTTACACTCTTATTTCCTTCTTAGCAGCAGCGTATCAGCTTCTGGTATTCCATCTAGAATGACATTGACTTTTAGCTTACCCAGACACCCGCTGCCTCACCCTCCTGCAGACCCCTCCCCTGGTGTTTTATTGTTTGTGTAATCTGTAGAGGGCTGTTTTTGTGGTGGGGGTCGCAGTGGGAGTTGTCACTGCTGCTGCTGGGGTTCGTGACCCTGCCGACCTGAGGTCATTACCACTGGCTCATATGTTTCCAGTTGTGTGTGTTTCCGTGCTTGAACTGGAGTTGAACCCAGTTTGTAATCATGCACAAATGCAGAGTCTATCATGGCAAATATTTAGGAGGATTATTTTTAGGCTTGTCTTGGGTCATGTCCAACTCTGTTTCATTGCTTACTTGGGCTCATGTTTGTTTTTATATATTGTCAGGACATGGGCTCATGCATATGTCCCAACTGTGGAAATGGCACATTACTAATTTTTCTTTTCTGATACCGGTATTGAAACCTTGAGTACTGGCTGGTACCAGTAGTTATTTTACATGCTTGTGGGTTATCAACAAATGCTGGAACTATTACATATTCCATTAAAAAGCATATTGCACTGTGCTTTTGTTTTATAATTTTGACACTGCACAAAAAACAAAACATTCGTAACAGTGAATTTAGGTGTTTTGTATATTTCACATTTTATTCTTTCCAGTTGTCATACATTTAGTGCTATAATGTTTGGTCAGTAGGGGGAGCACTGCACTCACTGCTTGACCTCAAAGTCCGCCTATGAGCACAGCCATTGGCTCAGGAGCTGGTGAATGCTGTTGTTTTGTTGGCTTCTGCCCAAAACATCTGCATGAATTAGGGTGTGCTTCATATAAATTATATGTAAATAAGATACTGGTAGGCTGGCACTTGACTTCACGCGCTGAAGCTGATTCATCATTTGCACTCAAATCTCGTTTCTACGTCATACAAAAGTTTCATAAATCAAATGCAGAGTAGTAGTACATACATC